GTTGCCAAGTTGATTCTGACCTATGTGCTCCGTCGGGTTTCCATGGCTGATTTTTCAGAAGTAGATAGCCAGGCCTTTCATCCAAGCCGCCTCTGGATGGACTCAAACCTCCACCCTTTTGGTTAGCAGCTGAGTGCATTAACCATTTGCACTACCCAGGGACTCTACCTAAATACTAATATAGAGCAAAATCAAAGGATACCAGCTCACTTGAGGGAGCCAGGGCTGGTCATTGAGAGTGAATATCGTCTAATGTCAGTTTCCTGGTTTAGATGTTATACTGAGGTTATGCAAAATGTTAACATTGGGGGAGGCTGGCGACTTCCTATGAATCTATAATTATATCAAAATCAGTTTTTAAAAAAAAGTCAAGCAGTCCCCCAAATAGCTTGACCACACAGAACCCTTAGACTAGATTCCTACGGGTTCTAGTATATTCCACGTGTCTCTTCTAGGACTGGGGTGATCACTCCCTACAGACTTTGGTTCAGGAGGGGTGAGGAGGGGACACACACTGGCTAGCATGTTGGAAAAGTGCCATCCCCGCCTCTACCCAGGCCCCTTAATCCCCCTATCCTACCCCCGATTCTGTAGCAGAGCCCTGGTTAGGAAGAAAGCATGTAGGGCTTACTGAATCATCAACCGATAAAGCTAACATTTGGCAAAATAGCTTCTCTATTCTCAGGCTTTGCTCTATGGGGCTGAATCATTCTTGTGCTTTTTCATCACAATGAAATGAAATTGGTGCTCAGAGGGGTTTGTGGACTGGACTCTATTATACCTATTTAACAAACATGAATTCCTGTTCGATCGTCATAATGGAAAATTCTCTCAGACCGGTTCTCCCCATCTGAGTTCCATTTCCCACATAAAGGGTCAAAATTGACCCCAGGTTATATTCCGAAATAATTGTTGAAAATGTCAGCCTACCTAAGAAAGTACTGCCAAACTCAAAGACTTTTAAAAATGTGTTGCCGAGAGAGGAGAGAAATGACAGTTAAAAATCTCAGGACATGTAGCCCATTTGCCTTAGGTTTCAACAGTTTTCAGACAAGAGCTTTAATTAGGCTTATAACAAGTGGCCACTTGTAGAGATTCTTGCACTTTTTAATAATGAGGTACAGGTGAATGGATTTTATTACCTCTGCTTTAATGCTTAGTTTTGTAATAACCCACCTTTATGTTACTTTATTGAGAGCTTGTATTTTAAAATTCTTGCTTTGTTCTCATATCTGATTCTTTAGGGAAAGAAAAGTAAAAATTTAAATATCTGGAAAGTAAGTCCTGGTACATTCAACCTTACCAAATATTAGCATTGATTCTTTTGGAGTGTTTGCTTCAGCTTGAGCCAAGTAGTATATGGAAAACCTTAGTTTTTTAAAGAAAAAATGTAACGTAAATGCCAACAAGTAATTCTTTAAAAGAAAATGTTTCCCTGTAATTGTAAGCAAATATATGTGAATGCCTAGAATATAGGTTTAAGCCCCTGGTCCTTTCTACATAAAGCTCTAATGAAAATACTAGATGCACTGCTATGTATTTCATGACTAGGAACATTTGGCCATTGTGTGATTCATAATTTTCCCAAAATAGTTGAGGTTCAAGCCCAGCTCTTAGCATCAAGAGTTAGTTGGGAGCTGTCTGTTTCCATCATAGAGTTCTCCTAGGCGTGTTTCTAGTTTATTGACTCATTGTATGTACCTGGGCATCATTCAGGATGTGAAGTGGTACTATAGAAGAGATGTCATGGGAAAGGCCACCTGATACATAGCTACTATGGGGACATTATCTCATTCTCATGTTAATGACAACATTTTTTTTAATGTTGCTGGTGTTTAGAGTTCTCTTAAATATATTAAGAAAATCATGGAGATACTTTCGGTGTGGGTCATGGCCACATAGCTTTCATCTTCTGATGATAATAATTTTATAAACTTATATTACACTCACCAGTAATTTTAATATAAGATACAAGATAACATTTGAAGCAGAAAAGGAGTTGCTTTCAACATTAGTGATTGAGAAATAAGAAGTTAAACATTGAAAATGCTGCTAGCAAGTCAAAGGGCATTGATAGTATTAATGCACATGATGGATTTTCTGGAAAGAAAGGTTTATCTGGGCTTTTGATTTAGCCATTTTATTCATTGTTTTTAAAGGGTCACCATATTACACTGCCCAAAGCTCATACAACTACGTATTATTCACTTGAACTTCATGGGAAGGATGCAAATAACAAAACAAATACCATGTTGAAATCGAACTTAAGCGAATTCTAGATTTTCTTCTAAAGTTAGTGCCAGCATAGCCCTATATCTCAAACAGGGCTTTTAATGGTTTCGAACCGATTCAGTCATGGCCGATGAAGCGAAACCGGAGGAGACTTGAATTTTTACAATTTGGGTAATCCAGAACCATAACCAGCACAGGAAAAATTACGGGTCGAAGCACTGGATGGGAGACTTAGAAGAGGCATAGTGAGCCCTTTCAGGAGCTTGCTGCATGAGATTGGATTATTGGCAGGACTGAGGAGAGTGACACACATTCAAAGCTGCACAGCTGGCTGCCATCTTTGAGTGGGGTACCACTGTTTACATCTCTATGTAAAATCCAACAGGCAAGAGATTTGGTTGCTATGCAACGCGTACGCTGCCCTTGTTTTCTAAGAGGGAGATTAAGTTTCTAGCAGGGCTTCAACCTGTAATTTCTTCCATTATGGTTATGGTACTGATTCACCCAAATTTTAAAAATTCAAGTCCGTTCCAATGTTGCTTCCTCAGCCATGATTGAACCAGGAAGAACCAGTTTGAAGCCCTAGTCAACAAACTTACTGCATCTAGAACTATGTCAACAGCCCACAGAATTCAGCTGTACTGAGTATTTACTTTTGCCAAATATTCAGAATGATTCTACATCATCAAGGAAATGCTTAGATATGTCCCATAGCTTCTGTTTATGGATGAAGAAGTGCACCATACGTTTGACTGCTATTTTTACCAAAAGTTGTCTGTCTTTAAGTTATACTTCACTTAATAGGAATTGCTTATTTTCCCAAGTGGTAGTGAATAATTAAGCATGGCTGTGGATTCAGTGTTAGGCTAAAGCCTCAGCCAGTTGCTCAGCTAGGTCAGTGTGCCATGCATCATGGAATACAAAGCACTAAGGCCTAGCGCTGCCAGAGTTGAGGCCAGCTGAGCGTGCCTCATGCTTTGGAAAATTCAAAAAGACAGTCTGGAGAACATGTTCTCAATCAGTTTTCACCTTAAACCTCTTGCCATTCAAATGCAGACAACTGCTGGTGCTAAGTAATGCTTTTCCAGAAATCTGTTGTAATGTAGGGAAGAGAACACTAGTATTCAAAGTAGCTGATAACAGAAGGAAAATGGGTAGAGAGGAAGATACTTGAAGGAAAATTGCCCAGACACAGTGCTTCTAGAAAAAGAGGCTGTGCAGGGGCTGTATGGGCTTCACAGTTTCATCGGGTCAAGAAATATGGGTTCTGCCTACTATGGGCCAGTTATTGTTCTAGTTGCTGGGGACATAGGATGTGAGCAAAACAAGTGTCTGCCTCATGGATCCCATAGTCTAGGGGGAGGAGACAGTGGGGATCCAAAAGTAAACAAACAAGTAAACGTATAGTATGTCAAATGGTCAGAAATGATGGGGGTAAAACGGGGAGGGGAATAGGGGTGTTATTGTGGGGGGAGAGTGTTGTTTTTCTGTAGGGTTTCAGGGATGGATTCATTGATTTTGGTTATATTTGAGCAGAGACCGGAAAGGAGTGAGGAGGAAGCCACAAGGGGAAAGCATTCCAGGTAGATGGAATAGGGTGCAAAGGCCCTGAGATGGGCGTGTGCTTGGTGCACTTGGGGAGTGGTATGGGAGGCCAGTGTGGCTGGAGTGGAGTGAGAAAGCGGAAGAGCAGAGACGTGGTGGAGGAGATGACCAGATGGCAAACTGCCACATAGGTCACTGGAAGGACTTCAGCTTTTACTCCAAGCGAGATGGAAAGCCACAGGAAGATTTGGGGCAGGGAAATGACTTTATCTGATTTATATTGTGACAGTATTAGTCTGACTTTAGGGACACAAAGATGAAAGCAGGAGGTTCTCGAAATAATCCAAGTGAGAGATGGTGGAGGCCTGGACTAGGGTGGTAGCAATGAGGTGATGAGGATGACTCCAAAGTTTTGGCGTAATCAACTAGAAGGTTGGAGTTGTCTTTACTGAAATGGGTTAGACTGTGGGAGGAGCAGGATTGGTCAGGGGAAATCAAGAGTTTGGCTTTGGAGAAGTTAATTTCAGAGTTCTCAAGATGCCAATATTAGGCAGCCTGGGTGGGGGTTGGGGGAGTGGGCACTTGCTATCCAAGTCTGGAGTTCAGAGGGGGTCCTGGAGAGCCAGAGACAAGACCAGGGCATCGAGTCGAAATCTAGAAAGGATAGCTAATTAAGAGTTTGCCTAGTGTCCTCTCTTTTTTTTTTAATAAACATTTCATTGTTCCCTTTTGAGACAGTTGCACTAAGAATCATTTCTGAATTTTCTTTTCTTCCCTTCATTTTTTTAGTGGCTTTTACCTGATCTTTTGCCTTTAGAGTACTTGCTTAAAATTGAGCCAAATGGAAACCTTAGTTTTTAAAGAAAAAGACAACATAATGCAAATACTCTTTAAAATTGACAGGCATTTTTCCAGTCTGGAAATCTGATCTTTGTGGAGCACCATTTGAAGTAACAAACTGAAGGAGGTGTTTGAGCCGTAGAAATGTGAAGTTTCAAGAGTATCTAATTATTTTGCAAGATAAAAGTTAGTGTAGGCAGGATCTGAATTTTCCACAGTTGTTTCTCTGTTAAAGTCTTAGTTTGGGTTGTGATTTCATGGTCAGCAAATCTGATAAAATTTATTTTGTGAAAAATCATAAGATATACTGTTAGTAGACTCTTGGTTACTTTACATTGAACTTTATTTATTTGTTTGTGTGTGTGTGTTTTTTTTTCTTCTAGCCATTATTTGCATTTTTAAATGAAGAAAAGTTTAATGTGGATGGATGGACGGTTTATAATCCAGTTGAAGAATACAGACGGCAGGTAAGTTGCTAGGTATGTAGTAGATCACAAACATGTATCATGACGATATATTATCAGTCGTGCTCTTGGTAAATATCCTTTTTAATGGCAGCAGTATTCACATTTTGTGTAATATGGCTTATTCTATCTATCAATAGTAATTACTATATTACTGTGCAATTTATAAATTCATTCCATAGCCATATTCAAGCTACATCGAAGGCTAGATGGCTAAATTCTATTTCCTTCCCCTATATAAAGAACCTCAGTTATACACTATTTATGAAATGAATCAAATAGTTATGGTCTAGGAAAAGTCAAACTTCTGTACCTTTTTAGGAGTTGATGTTGCTGTTTATTTGTATATTTAGGAGTTTATTACTGGAAATTAGATTTCAATTCTGTTCACTCCTGTTTTAAAGATTCAAATGAATTAGATTTTTTTCCTGTAATGATTTCTTTTCTAAGAAAGGTTTGATGAGCATATATTATTATTGCCTTTACTGCTCTGTTATGTAAACTTCACCTACATGCATGTTTATTTTCTATAGTAAAACAGGAGGCTTGATATAGTGTGCTGTTCACAGACAAGGTCTCTTGTAACCTTTTTGTAAAGAAGATCCAATGCTTGTTACATAACCAGAGCCATAACTTGACCTCTGGTATAACCAAATCTGTAGGACAGCTGGGAGTTTCATGATGGAAGTTTTCATCATTCTCTTTCTGCAAAACTCTTAAAACTATTGGAAAATGTAGTCGAATGAGCTTTGAGAATCAAATCAAGCCCAGTTGCTTTGTATGAAAAAGCAGAGGATCTAAAGTAAAATTACAGAACCCTAGACTTGAGAAGAACCTTCTAGCCACCACCTCTACCGCCAAGACCCTGGACTGATTTCCCTTTTTCAGTCTTGATCCATGGTTTGTGTGTTCATTGGCACATTTGACACTCTGGAATTTGGGTGGGGAGCTTAGCTCTAGAACACATGCATAAAACAGTATGTCCTATTGCTGCCATAAATCCAATTTAGATTATTAAGCTTTCAAAGGCTGTGTCTGCCTCCCATTTTAATGACCTCTTTTCTGGACCAGCTGTTGAGGTGGAAGAAGGAACATTAAAACGTTACACATGTTTTGGAGAGCTCTGTAGCATTATATATTAAAATATTTTTACCTGATTTTCGGAGTGTTATCGACAGTATTAAGACTTTTTTTTTAAGTTCAGAGCTTCTAGCTTGAAACAAAACAGTTCTTGATTTTAAGACTGCATGCACATATGAACTGTTGAAGGTATTCTGTTCTAGACTGCCTTTATATTCAATCTTTTTTTCTTGTAACTTTCTGGTGGGACTTATAACTCTCTAATTGGACTCAGCATCAGACTCAACATCTGTTTGGTCCGTTGGTCCGTGGTCTATAGGGCCAGACCTAAAGAAAAGGTAAAATGTCTGTCCCCAAAGTAAACACCCACATAGCTCACTTGCGTGTGTGTTATTTGTGTACTCGTGAGTATGGGGAGAGAATATTCCACCACCTCTGGCTCCTGTCCATACTAGATACAATTTTGTGGGTAGATGGGAGGATGGGAGCTGTCTTCCTTGTCTCCCTGTCACACTAGCAGCCGGCTTAGAATGCAGACGACTGTATTTCTCACCCAACCTGTAGGGCGATCATCAATTCCAAGCAGCTTTATTTAAAAGACTCATAGGAGGTGGCGAAATGAGCCTCCCCAGAGGGGCTTTCCCTACTTCCCCTCTGTGACTTTCTTCATGAGCTTCGCCTCTTTCTATTTGGGAGCAGATGGAAGCGTTCACTCGGTTTTGAGTAGAGAGAGGAAGTTGCCCGATCTCTTTTCTACCCTCAATTAGATGAAGATGAAGATTACGCGATTTACTTTTCTTTGGAATGGGGGTGGGGGTGAACTTGGAGTCAGCTGTATTATACAAGTGGTAAAGAATATTTTGACATGAAATAAAGGAAGATCTCAAATTCAAGAGAATCTGTATTTACAAAAGATAGTTTAGAATTGTGGAAACCATCGATGTTTTGTCTTGTGTCCTGTTGTCTCGATTGTTTTGGCTCCCTTATGATCAGTTGTGATAAACTGGTAGGCCGTCACCACCCTGTGGTCAGCGAGGCATGCGCAATACCGCTAGAGAGAACGGTGAAGATAGGCTCAAAGGCCAAATCAAGAGGTGAAGGCGTGCAGTACTGACTTGGACTTCCTTCTCTCCTGCAGGGTTTGCCCAATCACGATTGGAGAGTAACTTTTATTAATAAGTGCTATGAACTCTGTGACACTTACCCCGCCCTTTTGGTGGTTCCGTATCGTGCCTCAGATGATGATCTCAGGAGAGTTGCCACTTTTCGATCCCGGAATCGAATCCCAGTGAGTACCACAATTAACATTTATCTCAAAGAGTGCCTTCTACCACCCAATGACAGTGATCAAGTAATCAGAGAGGCACCCTTGGAATTTCAGTCCAACAGATAATTATCAAGTGCCTTCTGAGTGCAAAGCACCACGCCAAATGGGAAGAGAAGCAAGGCAAGCTCACGATCAAGGGCAGAGAGTGAACACAAGTGACCCTTAGGCAAGAGAGGGTGACAGTGATGCTGTGATGTGTAGACCAGGTGCTACCTGGATGGACGGAAGGACGGGGTCTTTGTCGGTTTTGTCTTTGTAGCACAATACCTGACATACTATCTCAGGAGGCTCTCAGTAAACGTCAGACGAATCAGGCTTGAAACAACACGATGCCTGAGGTTAGAGAAGTGTTAAGTACAGGCTTTTCCGTTTGCTCCCGGTTATCAGGATTAGCTCATCCTGGTCACATTTGTGAGCTGCCTGCATTCCAGTAGCAAACTGGAGTGGAGGGCGGATGCCTCCTGACAGTGTACTTCAGTATCACTGAACCTAGCTCATGAAGTTCTCACTGGGTCCTTACATATCTAAGTATATGTCAGACTGTCTACTCTGTCGACATAATTTTCACTGATTAAAAATTTAGAGATGGTTTTTTTTCCCCGTCTGTTTATTTTCAGAATTTGTCATAAGTACTTTCTTTCCCAAATTAGGAATTTTTAAAAGCAAAGGTTGAAGATACTAAGATTTAACGTCACCTCACCTTTAACTTCAAGCCTAGACTTTCTTGTCCTTCAAAGGATTTTTGTTTGAAGCTTTTGTCAATGTCTAGCCTAGTATGAAATTGCAACTTTTAAATTTCACTTGCTTCTCTAATTGTTAGTGTCTGCTCATATCTTCAGGATATCCATTGTACTTGAAAGTGTGTTCCTGAGATTATTTTGTTAGAACACAGTGCTGATGAAGCCAAGGTTATAAGTTCAGTCCTTTTGTGCTCTGCTGGAACATGCTTTTCTGTACCATAGCCCCAGACTGCACGCTGACCCTGGCCAGCTGTCTTGCTAATACATGCCTGCCCACAAGGAGAACTGGGCTAGGGTAGAGTGGATCAGTTTCATTCATTCAGTCATTCAATTTATATTTATCGATTATGTACTGTATCAAATCTGTGTGTGTGTGAGAGAGCGAGAGCGAGCACGTGTTCAGAGAGAGAGAACTTCATGGGATTAGGGGAGGGAAAGGAAATGAAACAAACATACCCAATCCACTGTACTCAGTCTGCCATCTTGATCCAGAAGTCCACATTCTTTGGAAAGAATGAGCCCACTGTAGAGCAAAGGGGATTCTTAACTGCTTATTACTTAGCTTAGCTCTCTTACAGATCCTTCTGACTTTGCATTTATTTTGCCTACAAATACTAAGGTAGCCGTTACCTCTGTGTCTTTACAGATGACCTGTCATTAGATAATATTTAGAATGATAATATGCTCTTTCCAATATGCCTTCTGGTCACCTAACACTTGGCTATTCATCTCAAAGGTTTGCTTAAACCCAGAAAATGTATGTGCCTTTAATTATGTCACCAATAACATAAAATCATTACGATTTGATGTTCAGTTCTTTTTTAAAAGTCTCTATAAAAACACAAAAAATGTTGATAAGAAAGAGATCTTAATTGTTATTTTGTATGTAGATAAAATATAAGCTGTCATAAAGTATCATTGGGTAATGAAATGACCCACATACATTAATAGTCCCAATAATGGATGCATATTCCTTTGTTCTCAAACAAGTTTGTCTTAATTTTATGAAAGTCTTTAACATACAAGGAATCCATGTTCGTTTTAGAAAACACTAACAGACCAAAGGAAGTCTGCCACCTAGTGAGAATCACTGTTAACATTTCTGTGTATTTCCTTCCAGACTTCCTTCAATGCATATATGCATTTTATTTGAAAGAAAATGAAGCTATTCTATAATATGTGTCTCGTGATCTATTTTTCTACGTAGCAATATCTTGTAAACGACTTTCTACATTGACAACTATGATCTACTCATATGCCAGTGCATGGGTCTACCATGATTCGTGTAATCCATTTTCTATTACAAGACATCTAGGTTCTGTTTCATCTTTTGCTTTTATAAAGAGTGCCATGATCAACATCTTTTTGTGGCTAAATCTTTGTGTATATCCTTAATTATTTATGGCTTCTAGATAGTAACTTTAATAAGAATCATATACTACAGTACCATACGCTTTAAAAGCACTCCTAGTAGTTGATGATGTAAAATGCAGTTGAACTTGGAAATTAGCATTATTTACACCTGTTCAGATATACAAGAAATAAAACAAAACAACAACAGCAACAAAACATCTTTTTACCCAGGTAGTAGGCATCCCAAAAGAAAAAGAAATGAAGGGGTGAAACAACTCGGAAAAGTAGCATTCCCTAACGTGGCATCATGATTCCGGTGTTGAATCTTCCCGGGCAGTGAGAAGAGGGCCGGAAGAAGGGAAGGCATTGGGAAAGGGCAGTTTTGTGCATATGGCCTTATTTAAATGTAATACTTGATGAGGGTCTTTATTAAATAATAAATCTCATGTACGTGTAGCAATTTGCTCTTTGAAAACTCATCTCCTGTCTTGTATCTCTCTTGATACAAGGGCCATAGGAGTTAGGCTAGGCAGACCTCAGCTCCATTTTGCAGATTAGAAAATGGAGGTTTCGGAAGGGGAAGTGCCTTTCCCAAGGCTTCCCAGTTCTGAGCCTTTTGACTCTATGTCGAGGGCGACAGTGGTCTCTATCATGGACTCAGATATTTGCTTGAGTAATGAGTCTTCTAAGTATCATATAATCTTTCCTCAATCACCCATGTCATTACTATAAACATCAGTTTTTGTCATTTGCCATCATAAGGGGTGAGTTCCAAGACTACAGCACTATTTGGTGGTATATTAAGTGGGCCCAAACGGTTATACTTGTTGTGTCTTATAACTATTTTTTCATCTTTGTTATCTAACTTCACTGGCCACTGGACCTGCTTCTGCAAGCTGGTGCGAGCCAGTGTGCACCGCAGGTTTGTGCCCTGCACTGTGGTAGGCCCTGTACGAGCTTTCTTCATTCAGTCCTCACAGCAGCCCTATAAGATAACGTTATTCTCCCCCATTGACGCAAGACCAACGGGAAGCTTCTGAAGAGGTTGTGTGTTAATGCCTGGGGTTCAAGGGTAGGGGCAAGGCAGAGCTGGGAAGTCAGGCATCAGATGTGTTAGTCTTGTATATAAAATTAGAAAGAATTGAGTCCTAGTAACGGCTTGATGAGTTGTCCTATGAGTCAGGTATCTAAGCCTCATTATACGACTCTGACAGCTCTCTTCTCTGTTCTGAGATCTGCTTCCCCCACCCTCACTGTGTTATGTTCTAGAATTGAGGCTGTTGGAAAAATGACCTGTAGACGTGAATTGGTGTCAAGTGAAACGTATTGTACCAGAGATGATTTCCTTTGCTTCTCGCTTCTTGTTAAAGCTGTTTTCTACATGATAACAAGTCTAGTGCAAGCTAGGGAATTACAATCATATCAGAAGCTTTCGGTTTCTTTTAGGTGATATAACTTATTTTTTAGGTAAGCATTTCATTTGATTAGATGTGGTGCTAATTAAGAAAAGAATAAACAGTAAAGCGATTGTTACTCTAATTGTTTCTGAGTAGTGATAGTTGTTAAATGTGTGTTTCTAACAATTAGATGATGCCCGGCTACCACCAATGACCACCCTGACAGGGAACACAACAGAGAGTCCCGGACAGAGCAGGAGAAAAGTGGGGTGCAGAACTCATATTCATGTAAAAAGACCAGACTTAATGGTCTGACAGAGCCTGGAGGAACCCCGGAAATCCTGGCCCCCGGACGCACTGTTAACCCAGAACTCAAACCATTCCCGAAGCCCACTCTTCAGACAAAGATTAGACTGGACTATAAAACAAAAACTAATACACATGAGGAATGTGTGCTTCTTAGTTCAGTCAGATGTACAAGACCAAACGGGCAGCTCCTGTCCAAAAGCAGGATGAGAAGGCAGGAAGGGACAGGAACTGGTCGAATGGACACAGGGAACCCGGGGTAGAAAGGGGGAGCGTGCTCTCACATTGTGGGGATTGCAACTAATGCTGCAATAACAATATGGGTATAAATTTTTGTATGGGAAATTAACTTGAGCTGTAAACGCTCACCTAAAGGACAAAAAAAATTACTAATGATAACAAATAAATGTGTGTTTCTGGGTGCACACACAGTGAAATTGCAGGTGAAGAAGTATTCCATTTCACAAAATTAGATTCACTTCATTGTGATTTTTAGTGCTTTACTTTTTATAGTTGTAATTGTTTTCTTGAGAGTTGGTTTCTCGATAGCTAAAAATGTCTGAACTAACCGTAGGTGCTGTCATGGATTCATCCAGAAAACAAGACGGTCATTGTACGTTGCAGTCAGCCTCTGGTCGGTATGAGTGGTAAACGGAATAAAGACGATGAGAAGTATCTTGATGTTATCAGGGAGACTAATAGACAAATTTCTAAACTCACCATCTATGATGCAAGGCCCAATGTAAATGCAGTGGCCAACAAGGTGAGTGCATTTAATGACGCCATAGAGAAATTTACGTACGCAGTGTGATGTTTTATGTGAATGTTATTACCATAGTAAATCAACAAGTTGGTTTAATTTAATAGTTAAACATAGTTTAAATAAGAAATCGAGTTCATTTAAGTTGTTGTTGTTGTTGTTAGGTGCCCTCGAGTCGGTTCTGACTCATAGCAACCCTATGCACAACAGAACGCAACACTGCCTGGTCCTGTGCCATCCTCACAATCGTTGCTATGCTTAAGTCCATTGTT